GACCCCCCGCATCCTGTACTCTGAGCCTGAGCAGGACCCCCCCATCCTGTACTCTGAGCCTGCTTCCCTCCTGGGTCATAGTTAGAAACTGCTCTTATACCTTCTCATTGTCCATCTGCTGGGGATGAAATGACGCAGCAAACAATGATTTCTGAGCCCCTTCCCCAGCCCACTGGCTCCCCCTCCAGGGGCTCTGTGTTCGACTGGCTCTGAAGGTGTTATTCAATCAGCCGGCATGAAGGCTATCACACAGTCAGAGCCTCCAGTCCCAGCTCTCTCTCTTTCAGTAAAGTGATCATATGAGTTTTTACGTTCTTTTTATGTCCTTTGATTTATTCAATTTTAATTCACAAGTCGTAATTTTATTTATAGAAACACTGAAGTGCTCACCCAGTTTAATGAAACTGCTAATGACTCACAGCCAGCTGGGTGGTGAATGAGTCGTTGGCAGCTGGACTGAGTATGACCCTTCCCTCCCTCCCTCCTCCGCAGTGCCTTTCAGGGAAACCCCTACCTATACCAACCGGCGGCGTCTGGTTACCAGTGGCTTGGCTCCACCCCACTCCCTGCTGCGCTCCACCAGTGACAACAACTTGAACGTGGATGGAGGCCGGGGCTACTATTCGCCGGCGCCATCGCTACGCAGCCTGCCCCCCGCCGACGCCGCTGACAGCAGCCTACAGAGCACAGCCAGCTCACGCAGCTCACACTCACGCTCGCCGTCACTGCGGCGTGCCCAGGACGAGGCCGAGCGTCTGGGGCTGCGCCGCGTGGCCCGCGGCCGTCTCAGGTCAGTGCCCCCCAGCTGCCCGCATGCCTCTCCCTCTTCGTCTCGCTCTCCCTCGCCATCACCCTCTTCCTCATCGTTACCTCTCTCGCTGCAAGCAGGAAATTAAGACCATTTGGGCCATTTTTGAGGCTGTCAGCAGAGGCAGAAGCTACTTGTGTGTTTATGAATGTATAACGCACCTTCTGGTAAGGAAGGACATGGAGAGGAGGATAAGGCATGGAGAGAAGTGTGTACAGCATAGAGAGAGGCAGATACGGTGTAGAGAGGCAGATATGGTGTAGAGAGGCAGATATGGTGTAGAGAGGTGGCTATGGTGTAGACTGTAGAGAGAGACGGGTACAGTGTAGAGAGAAGTGGGTATGGTATACAGAGGTGGGTACGGCATAGAGAGAGGCACATACGGTGTAGAAAGAGGAGGTCATTCTGTAGAGAGGTGGGTATGGTGTAGAGAGAGGAGGTCATTCTGTAGAGAGAGCAGGTACGGTGTAGAGAGAAGTGGGTACAGTGTAGAGAGAGGTGGGTACGGTGTAGAGAGGTGGGTATGGTGTAGAGAGAGGTGGGTACGGTATAGAGAGGTGGGTACGGTATAGAGAAGTGGGTATGGTGTAGAGAGAGGCGGGTACGGTATAGAGAGGTGGGTATGGTGTATAGAGAGGTGGGTACGGTATAGAGAGGTGGGTACGGTATAGAGAGAGGTGGGTACGGTATAGAGAGGTGGGTACGGTGTAGAGAGGTGGGTACGGTATAGAGAGGTGGGTATGGTGTAGAGAGAGGCGGGTACGGTGTAGAGAGAGGTGGGTACGGTATAGAGAGGTGGGTATGGTGTAGAGAGAGGTGGGTACGGTATAGAGAGGTGTGTACGGTATAGAGAGGTGGGTATGGTGTAGAGAGGTGGGTACGGTGTAGAGAGAGGTGGGTACGGTATAGAGAGGTGGGTACGGTATAGAGAGG